TCTCGGTGACTAACATCCGGAGTACAATCAAGTATTACTGAGAAATACTTTGCTTGTTTGATTTTTCTAATGATTTCAATTTTAATTGCAGAACCAAGTAATGAAATCAACTCATTTTGTATTTTATGTCCAAGATAATGAGTGTGAACTTTTTGAGTTGTAACACGTCTAACATGTTCTTGGATAATTGGGTCAAATTCAGCTAACATTTCAATCAAACCCAAAAAGTTGCCATTGCTATCTTCGTACAACTTTTCCTTAGAACCACGAAATGCCAAATTATGTTTAGCAAGAAATTTCACTATTGAAATAACTCTTTTTAAAACATTTTTCCAGTGATCCTTTTCTTTCTCAATTAATCTTTGAGTCGTTTTATCAATAGTTTGAAATTTCTGCAACCTTTGACGATACTCATACCAAGTAGTCATATTCTTAACATGTTCCATGCCTAACTCGTGCTCTTTAATTCTTGCACCAACATGTGACCAATCACTATAACCCTCATTTGCTAATTGTCCCCTACCAATCCCATTTTTTAAAACTTTACAACAGAAACAAAATACTCTATCAAGCTCTTTTGAATAAACAAGCCAATCTCTATCACACTTCTCTCCATTTGCTAAAGCTCTAGTATACAAATTAGTCGTAAAGCGTCGATTCCAATTATCTCTAGGACCCCTCACAATAGAATTATCCCGTTTAGGCCCTTTCATAACTAATAAATCAATCATTTTAGGTTGAAGACGATCCCAATTTCTTGGATCAAATATATCGTAATCAACATCATCATCATCATCATCATCATCATTAACTTCCTCAAGATTATCATCATCATTATTAACTTCATCATCGATAGGTACACTATCAGCATTATCATTTTCAATAGGCACACTATCAACATTATCATTTTCAATGGGCACACTATCAAGAATTTCAACATTAGTATTATCAACATAATGACTTTCATTTGGAACTTGTGGTTCTTTTATCAAAAATTTATCAAGAGCTCCTGCTTGAGATTGAATTAACTCTTCAATTTTTTTCCTTTTCTTACGTTTATCATTTCCACATTCATACTTTCTATTCTTAGGAGGCATAATAGGAGGCATAGTAAAAAAAAACCTGGAATATCTCACAATGTCTTGTGTCCGCCAATGATCAACTCTGCAATATTTACTAGCAATCGATCTATTTGTAGCCTCGTTGTTAAATTAAGTTCCTACAATAAATTATTAATTAGTGCAAGCAAAAATAGTACCAGAAAAAAAAAACATGTTTGTAATCATCATAAAATGGGATTATTATTTATTAATAATACTTTAATTATATTATCACTATTTTTACTAACACTACTATGAAATATACAGAAAATAAAATGCTCCAAAATTAATTATTTTTAATTTAATCTTACTGTTGTTGATATTTTCTATTACAATTAATTCTAAATTTTAGATTCTATCATAAACTATTGTCTATTGAGATAATTGAATGAGTCACACACATAGAAATGACATACTCTTGACACAACAATATAAAAAGCACTTCTTTGACAGCTTGCAATCTTTCTATCACACTTCTTTGACAACTTGCAACCTTTCTACTTTTCAAATTTCAATTAGTTTTTAATATGAACTAATCAAAACTCAAAAGTATAAAGTAATAAAAAAATACAAAATAATCTCATAACTCATTATTCTACTTATACCATTTATTTGACAGCTACTACTCGGCACTCACTATTCTCTATTCATTTCTCCATCTCTATTCTTTTCTTCTTTCTTCTTTGAAACCTAACTTAACTCATTTCTTCTTTTCTTTTTACAGTAAAATTAACTCAACCAATTTTAGAATTTTAGGAGAAAAAAAACACAATAGAGCCATGGGAGAAAGAATCATAAACCAAGAAACACATACAAGTTTCTATCTATGTATGTTCTTTCTTTAATTTTATATTTTTTTTCTTTCAAAACATGAAGATAAACTACTTTGATTTGAACAAACTTACCGATTAAACTGCACTGCCGTCGTCTCACACTCTCACCGTCGTCGTTTTGTTTTTTTCTTTCTAATATTGTTTTGTTTTTGGTTTATTATGTGATGTATATAAACAACTTTGTTTTGGGTTTCTTTAATGCCGACGTTTCATTTTCCTTGGCGTCTTTTCGGTTTTAGGTTGCGTTTGGAATGAGGAAAAATAATATATATTTTAAATTTTTTCATATTAATTAGATTTCAAAAAAAAAAAAATAGGCCCCCAAAATTTTGGGGCCCAGTTCCATAGAGCCTGTTGCGCCTGTGAAAGGCCGGCCCTGGTACCCGAGACACACCAGTTTTGTCAAGCTGAAGTAATGCTTATATAATCTATTATTTCAACATCATCATATTTACCTCTAAAGAATGGAGCTTCCTAAGACTAGGTGAAGATGACTTATTCAATAATTCGTGCATAAGGGTAAGGAACTTTGGATGAACTAATGCGAATGGGTGTAAGCCTCGCAGCTCGGAAACACCCAGTGCTGACCACATTGAGTGAATGGGTACGAAAGAAAACAATTCTTCCCATCACTCCTTCCTTGGATTAGTAAACTACTATCGATAATTCGTGGAGGGTTCTTCAAGGGCCCTGACCGATAGGAATCAAGGATGAGTCTCTACATCTATCTTATATCTGTTCATTTAGGATTAAGAAGGCTTTAGGAAGACAATGAGATCTCAGACTTTCCTGAAAGCTTAGTAAGGGAGTTTCGCGCCTAGGAGGGCAGCGCGCTTTGGGATGCAGAGGAGCGAAGCGACTTATATAGAAAGCATGAACCACCTCGAACTCACTCGATTGATGGTTCATGGTTCTACGTAATTAGTAGGATCGAGTTTCTACTCCAATCTAAGGTTTTTAGGGTTGTGAACTCAAGAGTACCCGTACGAGTTCTTTGATCGAATTGAGGGTGACTTCTTCCCTTTCGCTGACTAAGGCGCTTCGCTTGTGCATTTTCAACATCCATAGCTTATGACTATGTCGGTGAAAAAGGTCCCTATTTTCTATTTCAAAGAACTAATTATGATCTGAGACTCTCTATCTATTGTCTAACTTTCGGCATCTTTATTTACGAGGAATTTCGATCTATGGCAATTTCTTTGTAGTATTTGTAGTAACAAGGTCAGTTAAAGCTGTCAGATATAGGAGAGACTGCCTACTTCAATCAAGTTCAAGGCAGGCTAACTCCAAAAACTGAAAAACCTCGTTGCATAACCAACTATTTTGTCCATATAACATAACATCAACATATGAATCCTTGAGAAAGCCTGGGATGTTAATAGCCTCGTCCCCAATCACTTGAGAGTCTTTCTACTACTTCCTTGCTTACCTGGCTCACTTTGCAACAGCAGGAATAGTGGCCTTTCCGCTGCTAGGTCTTTCACCCTACGCCAACCAAAAAGGCAGGTTCATCAACCCTGCGAGGGTCATTATTTCGCTCTCCGGTCGCTCAGTGCCACTATTGGTGCGAGTTGTAAGGAAGGAGTCTTGGTCTCGAGTTTAGTTGGGCGTCATTTAATTCTCATAACGGGAGTGAGTGCACCGAGAGTTCGTTCCGCCCCTTGTCCCCGAATATGGGTAATATGTTCTAAAAAATTCTAAGACGTTTTTATATTTAAAAATTCATTAACAAAATTATGGTATGTAATAATGAATCTTATATATATCATTAACCATAGTTTATTTATTACATAAAACTATTTTTAATGTCTGAGTATTTAATAATCAAGTTATGACATATATAATATATTAACTAATTTATTACACTCAATTAATCAATTTTTTCTTCCAATTTTCAATGCTAAGACAATTAACTAAATTAGGGATGTACATGGATCAGTTTGGGTTGGGTTTGACTAAAACTAAAACTCAATATATATGGAGTATATCGGTTTGAGTGAGCTAAAATAACCACCCCAACATCATTGGATCGGTTTGGGTAAAGCCATAAATTTGTGGATTGGATTGGGTTGGATAATGAGTCACCCAAATTTTTTTTTCCTTATATAATTATAAGTGATGTGTCATATTGTTTTCAAAATTTGCCTCAGCTATTTTTTTCTTGAAAAAAAGTTTAGCCATATTAGTGCTATTTTTTTTAAAATCAAATGTTTAAACATTCTATAAAATTTATTTTAAAAAAATATTTTCAAAAATCAAAGTGTATTAAGAAAGTGCAATATAATAAATAATTCAAACAATTTTGCTATTTTTACACCAAGGTGTACACCTACACCGTATGAATAGTGCAAATATATTAAAAAAATAACAAAGTGTACAAGTTTGCCACTTAATGTTGAAACACCATTTTTTACCGTGGGCCATAGTCAAATGAAGAAATTTATTGTTTCTCTCTCTTAAGCTCAACCACATGCTGTACTTTATAACATAAAATATGCTAACTCATTCTTCTTCTTGCTCTTGATCATTCACGCTATTCTTTAGCAGCTCTTCTCCAACTCGTCTCTTTATTTCATCTGCAACTTTTCTTTTCATTTCATCTCCAACTTTTTCTTATTTAGCATCATTATGTTATGAAGATGACGATTTAACTCACTAAGTTTCTAGATTCATGATTGTTCATATGTTTTTAGATTTAGCACAATATTAACCTAGTTTTCTTTATTGTTATTGATTTCATGTTTATTCACGATTATTCATTAATCATGTTCTAAAAAGTATTGTCCTACTTTACTCACACCATTAACCATGTTTACCTCCTGCTAAACGATTGCATATATTTACCCATGCTGGTTTGTTAACCAATTTGGGAAATGAATTAACCAACTTTTGTCACACCATTAACCAACTTCATAATAAACGGTGTTATAAACCTGCCCACATGTATGAGTGTTTATTAACCAAGTTATAGAAAATATTAACCATAATTTTGAACTATATTAACCAACATTGTTATAAATTTATACTATACATAATATTGACATTTATGTGCAGTTTTTAAGTCATAATGGACAATTCAAGCATTTTGATAGAATATGATAGTAATCAAAGGAAAGATGTAGAAGTTGATCATGACGATGGTGATGAATCACTTTGGGTTCCTGCAATTGGGATATGTTTTTCATGTCTAGAGGAAGTTAAAACATATTATCAAGAGTATGCTTTGAAAAAAGGGTTTGGATGGAGGATTAGACCATCGAAAAAAGGAGACGACGGGGAGCTCAATTACCTGATACTTTCATGTTCAAGAGAAGGGTCTAACATTTCAAAAATTTCATGCACGTAGTGAGAGCATACATGCTTTATTTGATGGATATATCAATTCTACAACAAGTCTAAATTAGTTTGTGAAACAATATGATAATGCTCTTAGAAGTCGGGCAGAAAAGGAATTTAAAGCTGATTTTAATTCGATGGACACAACAATTCCATGTGGTTCAAACTCGTCCATTGAGAAGCAATTCCAAAGTGAGTTTACTAATGCTAAATTCAAGGGAATTCAAGTGGAATTCATATCTAAGATGAATTGTTCTGCCTCATTAAATAGTGTGGAAGGTTGCCTTACTACGTATCATGTGTTAGAGGAGATATTAGTTGGAGACTTACGCAAAGAGCGAGTCTTAAAAGTTGTGCTTAATAAGGAAAACCATGATTTCAAATGTGAATGCTCATTATTTGAGTTTCGAGGTATTGTATGTCGGCATGTGTTATCCGTGTGTAGTCAGGAGAGGATTATAGGTCTTTCAGACAAGTATGTTTTATCAAGATGGAAGAAAAACATTAACAGGAAGCATTCATATATCAAGACTAGTTATGGTTTAAGGAGATGAAGCCACAAATGGACAGGTTTGACAAATTATGCAAGCATTTTTATGAGGTTGCTGAAGTAGCTGCTGAATCAGAAGAGACTATCGAAGACCTCCATGACATATTACGTTTGTTTAACTCTAATATTTCCACAAAGGATAGTACACTTATTGAAGAAAATGGTGATGAGGATTCTAATGCAATCAATAGTAATATAATTCACAGTCCAAAACATGTCAAGAGAAAAGGTTGTCCTCAATCTAAAAGAAAGACATTCGTCGCTGAAACGATTACTAAGAGGTCAAGGAAGCGAACAAAAAAAAATGATCACATTGAGCTTACTACGGTATGTCTATTTTCATGCATAAATGATATCTTATACAAATGGTTATGTATATGGAATCTAAATATTTTGTTTCTCTAACTGTAGGAGTGCAACATTGGAATGGTGGGAAATCAATTTGGAAGTAATGTTTGCGTAGAATCATCTCTTGAGGTTGTTAGTGGAGGAAATTGCGTAGATTTGACTATTGTGGTGTGTGTCCATTAAAAAATTAAATTAAATAACGTTTGAAATCATATGTACTATTTGAGGAATTTGTTGTATTTTAAATTTGAGGAATTTGTATGTACGAGTTGCGGAACATATGTAGTTGTTGCAGATAAATTATGTGTAATCATTGTAATACTAACTTATTATGTATTTGATTTTATACACATCATATTTTATATTTTTTCTATGTTATTATACAGGTTGGAAATTGTATGTCATTCATGGATCTTTTGACAACATGTGAAACACCCTTGACGGGTTCATCCCAAGTTTGTACAAATTTATGATGATCTTTGGGAATTTTTGGTTATTGACTAGTGGCATGTGCATTTTGGGAAGACTGTCACATATCTATACTATTTTGGTAAATTTAACATGATGACATTGTTAGACTATGGCAAGGATCTAGAAGGGGGGGGGGGGTTGAATATATCCCAATTAAAAGTTTGAGTCGGCGCTACCAATTTAAAAATTGTTTTTGAAAATATGTTTTAAGTGCGGAAGCGGCCGAAGAAAATATAGTCTAAAACGAACGGTTATTGGAAAACCGGATATGCGATAAGCCTTTGGATTAATGACAATATGGAAGAGAGAATCAAAACACTAATCACACTTATCAATGATCTAATTTACTTGTTAGGATTCCTAGTTCCAATTATTTAAAGAGCAAACCAAAACTAGATACACAAATAAGATAATTTTGGTTTAGGCAATTTGTCGAACACTTGGCGTGCAAAAACACTCCAAGTGATATTTATGTTGAGTAAGTGATTCCAACTAGCCTAGTACAATGTCTTATTGTACTTTGGATTCAAAAATAGAGTTTTAACCTCTTACTCAATTGATATCACAGTTTGACAATAGTGCTTATACAAAAATCATTTATTTTTAAGCTAAAACGAAAATGTTGAAAAATAAAGAAGACAAGTATTTGGTGAGGCAGTTCCCCTGCCGTCCTCGCTTCGGGGTACGTCTGTCACACCCTCATTTTCGCTTTTAGCCTTTATACCCTACATTCGCCATACCATACATCATTTTATTGCATATCGAGCATGTGGGTACGGATTGGGTCGATTTGTCATTTTCCATTTTTCAAATGAGATAACTTGTCTATCTTGGACTACATGGAAGAAAAGGTTCATTATCTAAAGTTTGATCTAAATTGGAAAGTCTACTCTTGTAGATTTCTTCAAAGAGAAGTTACTTGATGAAATATTAGGATATTCAAGATATATTCCTAATGACCATGAAATGCAAGGCATAATTCAAGATTGCTTCATCTAATTTTGTTTTAAATTCTTGATCAAGTGGAGTTCAATTTTGCAAAGCATGAGTCAAGATTACAAGTCCATAATTCAAGACTTCATCCATTTCAAGCTTAATGGTTCTAAGGAAATTCATCATGAATTCAAGATTAAAGGCAAGAGTATTACAAAGAGAAACTTTATGACATTACAAGAATGTCATTTGTTACAATGTATCCAACTCTAAGTAATGATTAGAATTTATTTCTAATCTTCATTCAAGCTTCTAATCAAATTCATGCCACACCAAGTCCACCTTATGCTTACAAACATCCAAGAAATATGTAAGGATTAAATCAACATTGGATTGTTTTAAGACCAAGACTATGCATGTTAATCATAAGCAAAATAGTCCCATTGCAAAAGTGACAAATTTCCTCATGTCACAAAATCTACATGTCACAAGACCAAAGGCATAACATGTGACAATGCTTCTACACATCAGAATTTTCAAAATGCTGTCAAGAATTGGTAGCATTGGCCAAGAGGAGCTGTCCAAGCACAAGCCAACAAAATGGGTGCAAGGCACAAGGTGCTGCAGAAAAATAGCATAGGAAAGTAGTGCAGAAAATGCAGCATAGCACCTTGCATGGAAATGGAAAGAAAGAGAGTGACATAAGGAAAGGTGGTAAGAAACATTGCCCCATGAAAAATCTGAAGTGTGGGAAGAAGTGAAAACCCTAGAGGAGCTGAGATAAGAGGAGGGGGCTGTAAACAAAAAGAGGACTCTTCATTCATTCAAGATTCATTCTACACACATTGGCAAAAAACCAGAAAATAGAGAGAGCAAACAAAACCCTAAAAACCAGAAAAATAGGAAGCTTTGCAAACAAGAAAAAGAGAGTGATATAGAACCAAGAGGATCATAGAGAAACAAAACCTTCACAACATAAAGTGAAGAGGAGTGAGGTACATTCAACCAAGACCAAGGAGGACTTGCAAGAAGGATAGAAAGTTCTTGGGTATCCATTTCCTCCAACCTTTCTCTCTTTACTTTTTTGCTATTTACATTCATTTTGTCTACTCTTTTTGTATTGTTGCATTGTATGTTTCATGTAAGGTTCCAAAGGGACCAAGACACCGTTCTTAAGAAACCACAAAAACGAAAGAAAAACATAGAAAAGTTAGTTTTTTTTACTCTGGTAGCACGACACGGGTCGTGTCACACAACACGGTCACCCGTGTCACACAACACGGGCCGTGTCACACAACACGGCCACCCGTGTTGCACTTCTGTTTGACATTTTAACATCCAAAAAACCCCAGACATCACAACACGGGCCGTGTCGCACAACACGACCACCCGTGTTGCACCCCTGTTTGCCCTAAAACTCATCTTTTTCAGACATCACAACACGGGCCATGTCACACAACACGGCCACCCGTGTTACACCACTGTTTTGCTACTTTTTTCAATATTTTACCTCCAAAAAAATCCGTTTTTATTGCATGTCTCGATTTTTTTTATGCGAATAACCCGATATGTTTGTATATTTTAGTATGAATGTTGCTATTGTCCTTGGTGACTTTTGATTCCAAAGACCATTTTCAAAAACAAACTCTCGATTTTATCGAGCCATTTTCAACCCTTGTAAGTCGGTCGCCTTGTGCGTCCGCCATCGACCTTGTTCATATCACCTCAAATACTTTTACAAACAATAAACCTTGATCCAACATCAAGTGGTTCTCTTTTCTCATAAAAAATCCAAAACACAATAACATAAACAATTAGAATTATGCACCACGAACTTTAAAGTGGTAGAAAAGGAATGAGAATGGAGTCCTCCTACACTCGTTCCGAATGTTTTGGATACAAGGCGCTCGACTTGGTTATTCGAAACATTCATTTCTATCCAAAGTCTTTTGTGTATAATCCTAATCAAGAACAATTTCTCTTAAGAAACTTAAAAATAACATCAACTCATCAAACCTATTTTCGCCTTAGGGCATCAATTCAAAAACCCTTTTTCAAGGTATAAAATCAACCAACAAACAACAATTTCACAAGCCTCCGAACTACGGAGCTCTGATTCTTCACTTCTTTTAAGTGAGGATACATAGGCACAAGGGCCACAATCCTTGGCGGGCATTAAAATAAATAAACCAACCCCTCTTTTCCGTAAACAAGCAAACTCTTAATAAAAACACCCATTCACGTTAAGTAACCTAGGAGGTTCCCATCGAGTACGATGGATGCGAGGGGGTGCTAACACCTTCCCCTCGCATAACCGACTCCCGAACCCTAAGACTTGGTTGCGATGACCATGCTCTTTTCCCAAAGGTTTTATCGCTATTTCCCTTTCCCTCTGTGGGATAAATAAAATCCGGTGGCGACTCTGTGTCATTTTTCGCGTAGCGACAACGTCTGCCCTCAATTCTAAAATCATAATTTAGATAGATTTAATAGATATCACCTATTGAATGTAACAATTTATACAAGGATTGAACAACAAATATACAACAGAAATCTCAAGACGCTCAATGTTGCTTTCACTCCTTGCCCCTTGATTCAATATGAATCAAGTCCTCCGATCATTGTTGATAGACCTCCGATTCCAGCCACCTTATTGAATAACCCTTAGTTGTTCAAACCTTCGGCTCTGGATGATCTCAACTGCAACG